ACCTTTGCTTGTAATGAATGCAAGCATTCGCTCCCTAATCACATACACTGTATGAATGTCTCTCTGAACAAGAAAACACTAATATACTCAAGTAACGTCTTCTGGAAGGGTGTGTTGCTAATTGAATTTCTGAAATTAAAATAAAGCCATACACACAATTGCTATTGTGACCTTTTTATTACAAGACTAGTCTTCAATTGGAGAATGACTTTCTTATTAACATTGGAAATCAGATTACATCTGCTGGTAATACATTAAAACAGAAATGCATTTTTAAAAGCATTTTTTAAAAAGAAAAAGTAAAATAAATTTGTGTAAATCTTTGCTTAGAATTTTCTCTAAGATCATGGACAAATTCTGTAGATTATAGAACTAATAGTTAAAAATTGTAATATTAATTTATTTTATGACATTTACAGTTTACCTACCAGATCTTGATGATAAAGGACTGAAACCTTGAACCTATAAGCCAGCTCCAATTAAATGTGTCCTTTATTAGAGTTGCCTTGGTCATGGTGTCTGTTCATAGCAATAAAACCCTAACTAAGTCAGATAGATACCAACAGGCAGGCAGACAATAGGTAGGTAGATTGGTAGGTAGACAGCCCTTTAAAAAAAATTTTTTAAGACAAAAGTCATACTTTTCAGTTGTGGTCAGAGTACTGAGTAGGACAATATAGGGTATTCATTTTGGTGTTGTTTTATTTCTATATAGATGAGACAAGACTAAATTTCACAGCCAGGGTAATTCTAGGAAGACTTAGTTGGAAACTGAAGGTGCAGCAGAGGCTGGCACAGAGCTGTGGTGAGGGCTAATGGTGTAAATGCCTTGGTTGGCATACTTGAGCAAACACTCCATCCTAAGCCAGTGTCACTGAGGCCACTCATGACCCCAGTGCAATCCTATGCCCTAATTACACAATGAACAGTTTTAGAAGATTTAAAGATTTTTAAAACTTAAGACAAATTGAATGTAAAAAGAAAATTAAGAAGGAAAAAAGAGAAGAAAAAAAAGCCATGGAATGTCATGAACTTATAAACACAGGAGATAATTTCATTTTATTGTTTTTAGGTATATATGGTAGGTGATGTGCTATCTATCTATCTATCTATCTATCTATCTATCTATCTATCTATCTCTTTATTTATTTATTGGAGATTGAGTCAGTTTTGAGCTTCATTTCAGAAATGAGAAATTAATTCTAACTAGTATATTTTTCTCCTAACTTCATTCCTATTAGTTCTCTTAAATTAATTTATGTTAAGGAGTAGGGATGTATATAGAATGTCTGTCTAGCATATATAAGGCCCTGGGTTTGATCTCCAGCACTGAACCAAATAAACAAAAATGAATGAATGTCTTAGAGGATGTATGGCTAGTAACTACCTGAGCTTTCCAGTTAAGCACTCACTGCTTGTGTGATTTGGGCAGATCACTTAATCACAATAATTCAAAAATGCCTGTCTTTTGAGTAATGATAAGACATGAGTTGCAGGCTTGGCTGCACTCCAAATCTCGAGGTATACAGGATTGGTAGGTATTTATAAACAACTTCTATGTTTCTATTTTTATTTCTGTCTATGTCATTGAACAGTTTGACTCTTGCTTTATGTCTGTTTAGCTTCTCACTTACCTGTGCTTTCTTCCCATCTGCTTGTGTCTAGCATAAGTTACATATGTAAATTCTCAAACCTCACCCATTCATTCATCATCTTCTATTTGTGTTTGAATGTGTGGCATGCTAAGTATACAAAGACAGATGCCGTAGGGTTCTTCCTTTGTTGAATACTTTTCTACCATGATAACCTTTTCAAAGCTAGGCAATAAGACTAGATTTTATGCTTTTATACCACTGACCTAATAGCCTCTTTTTTTTCTTATAAATAACTATCTGCTAAGCAGCACTGGCCATAAGAAATATTTAGGTAGTAACTGGCATAGGCTGCCTCTGCCAAACCCTTATTATGATAAACCCTTATTTCATGATAAAAAATTCTTACTATATAAGCATATATATATATTCTTACTATATAAGCATTAAATGTTGATAAGCATTAAATGATATCTCTTAGCTGGATCAGGAAGGCAGTGGCTCCGTGGAGCACTCCAATGCAAAGGCCTGCTGTTAGGCCTAGTAATAGGTGTCAAAATGATAGCTATCATACCACCACACAACATCAAAGTTTCTAACATCAATTGATGGACATTGGCAAAAGTCTCTAAGTGTGAAGTTGCTTATTTTAATTTATCCTTAAGTTCATGAAAATGTGAATTCCATACATAATTTACTTAAACTGTAAATTTATGTCTCAAAATGTTATTATCAGCAGTGATATACTTTTGGAACACTGCAGAAATACTTACTTTTGTTTAGAAGCAACTTTGATAAATGTTAAAACCTAATGTGCTAGGTCAAAACATAGATAATCTGCTTTAAAAAACCCACTCATTGGATTTCGTATTTATTCAAAATGCATTTTTAACACATATCTTAGTCAAAAGATGAACAGCCTTAATAGGAAGGAAAAAAATGCACACATGCACACCTGCACACCTGCACACATGCACACATGTACACATGCATACCTGTACACCTGCACACCTGCACACTTGTACACATGCACACATGTACACATGCACACCTGTACACATGCACACATGCACACCTGTACACATGCACACCTGCACACATGCATACCTGCACACATGCACACATGCACACCTGCACACATGCACACCTGCACACATGCACACATGCACACATGCACACATGCACACCTGCACACATGCACTTAGATTCTACATAGTTTGGTTGCGAGCCTAGCCTTTAATGGCTGAGCCATCTCTCCAGCACTAGATTCCACACATAACAGAAAACATGAAATATTTGTCTTTCTGAGAGTGTCTTATTTCACTTAACATAATTATCTTCAAGTCCCCTTCCCCATAAATTTCATGATTTCACTTTTTCTTTTTGACTGAAGGAAATTCTACTGAGTATGTCCTACATTTTCTTTACCCTTCCATATATTGATGGACTTCTAATCTCATTGCATTTTTAGTTGTGAAGAAAGGAGTGACATCACTGATGTGCACATGTCTCTGTGGTAGCCTGAGTATGCTTCAGATATATACTCTCAAGAGTGATATGGCAGGGTCATATGATAGTTCTACTTTAGCTTTTTTTAGGGGCCTCTGTTGGGAGCCGACTCTTAGCCAAAAGTGGCTATCATCTTTACAGCCATCTCCAGCTATTACCCTGACAAGAGACTTGTTTTCAACAGCCCGCAATAGCTGAGCGCACTCTAATAAACATCTTGTTACACTGTTTAGTGCCCCCAGCTGCAAGGTGCTCCTGGCATTCATGGCTACAAGGCATGTGACGTAGTGGCTTCAGTTGAGCTTGTCCACGAGGGCAAGTCACGTGGTAAAGGGTATAAATACCCAGGATTTCCTTTCTATGTGTGGGAGGAGTGAGGAGACTGAAGGAGTGAGGAGAATATAGCATAAGTGTGAGGAGAATATAGAAGAAGAGAGGAGAATAAAGAAGATACTTGAAGAGACTGGACCAGACTCTGTCTTGTATCTATCTTTTGCGTCTCTCGCCCCTTTTTCGCCCTTCCTCCATCCCCACTCTCTCTCTCTCTTGCTAGACCCTGACCTGCAGACTGGAGCAGCAGAACCGGTCGGCCTTTACAAAGTAGCAGAACTGACCGTTACAAAAGAAACAGCAGTTACAGGCCTCTATGCTAACTTTCATAGTACCTGAAAAAGCTTACAGTTTAAATTGTATATCTTAAAATGTTTGCATTTTCACTTTCCCTTGGAATACATTTTGTCTTAATCCAAAAGTAAGGGATTAATTAAATCAATCATGCAGCTGCTTACTGAGTGATCTCATTGGACAGGAATGTCATAATCTGAAAATGTTGTCTTAAATATAAAGAAATTGATATGCTCTCTTTACTTGAGAAATCCGTATCTCCAAAATTTAGCAATAACTTATTTGTCATCTTTTTGGGTACATACATTTTCCACTTTACTATGACTTAAGGTATGCTTTATGTCATACTGTGGTTTGTGAACTTAGTGACTTTGAGGTACAAAAATTACATTGTCTCTTGTGGTCAGTGAGAATTGAGAAGAGGTGGGAAGAATGGAGAAAGTGTGGTATTTCCCAGGTGCTGTGGGACAGAGAGGGAAAAGAGCAAGATACAAGGAATGCTAAGATCATAGTATCTAAGTCTCTTTGTGTTGTATTTCTGGGACGCAGTGGTCATTTAAGCAAGAAAGAGAACCTGAGAATGGTGACAGTCATCCAAACATTTGTTCAGTCCTCTTTATTACTTTCTTCTTCAGTAGGAGAAATTAAGTTTGGAAAGGTAAAGCCCAGTTTCAGAAAGGGTAATGGAAATCAGTAAGTGCAAAGCCGCAGGAGAAGTGTAAATAAAACAAAATTATGCTAAAGAGTATCAGATCATCTTTGGTAATTAACTGTGTTCAGTAAAAAACTTTATACAGAGACATTTTAATGTAAAATTGGTAATAAATTAAAATTACACTATAGGAAGTGTGAGAGGGAGTTCTGTATATCAGCTGATACATAATGGAAACAGCAAAATTAATATTCGTGAGCTGGTGAGATGACCCAGAGAGCAAAGGTGATTGGCACCAAGCCTGATGACCTGACTTGAACCCTGGGACTCACATGTTGGTAGGCGATAATCAACACCCACAAGTCCTTTTATAATTGGCAAACATGCTTCCATAAATAAATCTAGTAACTTAACATTTTAAATTTAAATAATATAAATTATGTTCAAAATTGTGTTCACATTTATTCCTTATGGACATTGTATAAGTTATCTCAGTGTGGAATGTCCCCTGCTCATTTCCAGGCTCAAATTTTTGGAATAGGTTTTATTTATTGCTGGTGTTTTCATTATACACAACTCTTTAACATTCACTTAACAAGATTAAAAATCATCTATTTACTTACTTGAATCCCAAGAGGTTCATTTCATGCTGATAATCTCCTTGGACCATCTTTAAATTTGAGTTGTGCTCAGAAGTAGAGGCCTCTATCTTTCCTAAGAGCTGCATTACCTAATAAAAGTAAAGATGTTTGTGTGTGAGAGCAAAGCCTCCAGCACTTTTGCACTAAGACTTCCTTTCTGAAGAATACTAGAGCATGTTTGGATTAGAAAATGATTCACCTGTCAGAAGACCAGGCAGGCTGCTCTCGGACCTTCCTCATCCTTCTGCTATCCCAGACACAATTCTCATGTTGCTCTTAGCACTGCAACAGAACACCAGGGGCAGATTTCCCCTACCCTCAGCCTATGCCTCCTGTACATCTTTCCATTGTGTCCTCTCCCTATAGCCTCCAACACCAGCAAATATCCCTCCAGCCCTCACCACCATTCCTGTGACCATACCAGCCTAGCAGACAAGTAAAATAGGTAACACTCAGCCAAATACACTCTCTGAAAATCTAAAGAGGATACAAAAACCAAGGAATAAAACTATGACACAACCAAGACAAACCCAGAAATCAATACCTAGACCTATAAGCACCTCAAACCAAGATGCCTAGACACCAACATAAAAAACATAATAACAGCCAGAGCAGTATCAGAGTCCAGCTATCCCACCACAGCAGGCCCTGAATATGCGAATATAGCTGAAAGCACAAGACAATGACCTTAAAACCAACTTTATGAAGATGACAAATATCATTAATGAGGAAATGAATAAATCTCTTATAGAAATCCAGAAAAACACAACAAACTGTTGGAGGAAATGAATAAATCTCTTTGAAAAAAAAAGAATAAAGAAAAAAAGACAACTGAAGGAAACAAATAAAACTGTTCAAGACCTGAAAATGAACATAGAAGCAATAAAGAAAACAGAAACTGAGGGTATCCTGGAAATGAAAACTTTTAGGAATTTGAACAGGAACTACAGAGGCAAGCTTCACCAACATAGTACATGAGATAGAAGAGAGAATCTCAGTCATCGAAGATACCATAGAAGAAATGGAAGCATCTATCAAAGAAAATATTGAATCTAAAATACTCCTTACATAAAACATCCAGGAAACTTTGGAAACTATGAAAAGACCAATGCTACAAATAATAAGACTAGAGGAAGGAGAAGGAGCCTAGGAAATATTTTCAACAAAATCATAGAAGAAAAATTTTCTAACCTAAAGAATGAGATGCCTATAAAGGTACAAGAAACATACAATACCAAATACAATAGACTAGAAAAGGAAGTCCCCTCATCAAATAATTATGAAAACATTAAACATACAAAGGAAGAATATTAAAAGCTATAAGGAAAAATGGCCAAGTAACATGTAAATAGAGAATATAAGATATTCTATAATAAAGTCAAATTTAAACAATATAAATCTACAAATCTGGTCCTACAGAATATAAAGGCAAACCTACTAGGATTACATCTGACTTCTTAATGGAGGCTCTAAAATCTAGAAAGGTGTTGATGTGTTGCAGACTCTAAGAGACCACAGATAGGAGCCTAGATTACTATACCCAGAAAAACTTTCAATCACCATAAAAGGAGAAAATAAGATATTCTATAATAAAGTCAAATTTAAACAATATCAATCTACAAATCTGGTCCTATAGAAGGTACTATAAGAACAAATCCAAACCAAGTAAGTTAGCAACACTCACAAAAATGCAGAACATAATCTCACATCAGCAAAACCAAAGGAAAGGAAACATAAGCACATCATCACTGCCTCCACCAATGAAGAAACAGAAATCAACAACCAGTTCTCACTGAAATCTCTTAGTATCAGAGGTCAGCATCTATGTCCTCAAAACAAGGGCATACCAGTTTATAAAAGAAACACTACTATAGCTTAAGTCATGCACTAACCCTCACACAATGATATTTAATAGATGTAAGTACCAGCCCATGGTGCTCACAAACTAGCACTGGCTCACTCTTTCCCAGCATCAGTGAATAAGCAAGTAATCACTATGATCTGACGGGCATTTCAAACTGCTCCAAATGCAAGAAAAGCATAGACTATGTGTCTGCACTGTGCTAAGTGGAAATTGATAGAACAGAGTGCATTTGAAGAAACCAAAGTCTGGCCATGAGTACAGAAAAGTTTTGTAATTCTAGTGTCTCACATACCTCTGACAGCTATGAGAGACATACTTGGCCCAAACGCTCAACTACTGGGCTTAAAACCAGTAGTGTTGTTCGTAACCTGATCATCCTTTCCACACCCTCGGTCCCAACATGAGGAGTGCCACTCCTCACATGGGTACTTTTCACTCATGGAACTTGATGACATGTTCTTCATGACATCCCACGGAGTCCTTCCTTCCCTGTCTGTGTCAAAGGAGTCAGATTTCTATTTCTCTGTCTCATCCAGGTCTCTCTCCATTATTCCTCACAGATGTCCCCTTAGTGAGTCTTTTGCTTATCTGATTCCTTTCTTATATTTGTCTCTCAAAGGGTATGGAATAATAACAAGTATCAATGAGAAAACCCACTCTGCAACCACAGTTTTCCTAGGAACAAGAATAAATGTGTCACCCACTGACAGGACATGAACAAATCTAGTCAGTAGTGATATGCAGATAGCTCAGTAGCACTAGGTCAAAATGGTGAGTCCAAAAGCCCAGGTACATTAAAGAACCAATGTAGGCAGGTCCATTAAAGAGCCAATGTCTAAGGTCTAAGGGTATGTATGCTTTTCATAAAAGATCTAATCCACCACAGTGTTTAAATAGACACGTAACATTATCAGTGACACAAATAAATGTTGGGCCTTTAGTAATAACAGCTTCCATGAGAACTGCTTTTGTGTGTAATCCTGAGCTCCATAGTGTTACAGGGAGCCAGAAAGTGAGCGAATTTAGCAGTGATGAAAGCAGCCCATGCTCACAATGGAAGACTGTGCTGGGACACAAGAGGCACTCATTAAATGTTTGTTGGTTCAACTAGCTGAACTAATAATGTATATGAATAAGCTTCATGTTAAATCTTTCAAGGTAAAGGGTTCTCTTTTTGGTGTAGGTCTTTGATGAGCTATTACATTACTGCTTGGTAGTAGCTTATAATGACCTACAAATCCTGTCTCTTTCCAGTCACCTTCACATCCAAGTTTTTAGAAATGGTTTCTAAGGCAGAAATGAGTTCTTGAACTGATTTCTCAGTCTGTCGGCACTCGTGCCTGATGAACTGGATGTCTCCGGAAAGCTTCACAATGCTTGAATCACATCTAGGGTCAAGATGGAAATCTGTGTGAGGTCAGCAGGCACACAAACTCTAAAATCTACAGTAGGATCTAGGCATTCACTTGACACCAAATTTCTCCAGGTCTTTGAATCACATGTTGGCAGATATGAGAAGGGGCATGAAGAGACGAAGAGGTGCTAGCTTGGTCACACTGGCACAGTCACAGCACTGAGTTACTGTGGGAACACGATGGTGAGTGGAAGGAAACTGAATTTCAGCTTCACAAAATGGTCTTTTCTTTTCCTTTCCTTCCTTCCATCATCCCTTTCTTCTCTCTCTCTCTCTCTCTCTCTCTCTCTCTCTCTCTCTCTCTCTCTCTCACACACACACACACACACACACACACAGACACACACACACACGCAAACACACAGCAAGATATTACTGTGTACCTTGGCTGGCCTGGAACTTGCTACGTAGACCAGGCTTGGCCCTGAACTAACATATATAAATGCCTAGGCTCCTCTGTGCTGAAATGTACCACCATTGCCTGGCAAAACTGGATGATTTTTATAGATTTTGATGTTTGGGTAATATATTCTGTTACCTATGATTAGGCAATTATGATACTTTTTTCTTTTCTCTATCAAGTTCTGAATCTACTATCCTTTCTCAACTGACAACTACCAATTTCCTTTTGGCTAGAAAGAAACAATGTCTTAATCAAACAAAAATTTCTACTCTATCCTCAGAAACCAATGTCCAATTCTCTTAGCTTCTAACAAAACTTCTCTTCCTGGACTGGTCTCAAACTGGTGTTGCCTCATGGGACAATGGCAATTCACAAGGTCACCTGAATGTACATTGGTCCTTAGGCAGCAATGAGTGCTTTAGGGAAGGAATTCTGGTGAGAGAGTATGGCAGAGAAGAAAACACAGAACTGTCCATCTCTCTACTGTGTCTCAAGCCTCTCTTAAAGTTGTTAGCTGCTGCCTTAAGGATCAGTTTCAGCTGTTGCTCCTGTTTGAATGAATGTGAGGACAGAGCACCAAGACAATGTTCTTCTGTAAGGCTGAGCTCCACAACCCTCTCAGACAGTTGTCATTCTATAAAGTAACAAATAATAGCCATTGACAAGGAACTGCAATTTCATTTTTGTTGTGCCAAATAACATAAATATCTTAGGACTACTAATAGTTTGTAAGCCCCAGAACTAAATTTTTTAAGACTTTTGGAACCAAAAGTTATTTAAGATAGTAATCTTGCCTAGCATTATGTGATAGGAGGCTATGGTTGGTGGATAGGAGGCTGTGGGAGACAAAATTAGTAGCCAGTCTGATCAAGAACAAGAACAATATGCTATGCACCTATGTCATGATCAAAAAACTGTTGTACAGAGTTGTGTATAGAATCAATAATTGTTGTAATGGCAACTTAGTGCTTGGTTTGTTAGAATGTTCTCATGTGAATCCATGTTGAGACCATTCAATCCACAAGACTACACAGGAGTTGCTGCTGCTTCCACTACTTCCTGTCTTCTTCTGCCACTCTCTGGGAAAGCTGGTGTGCACAAGGCAGGCCGTTGACTAAGAAGCTGGTGTCAAACAGACCAAGCTTTGAGCCTTACCTCTGCTGCTTCTTAGATTTGTGATCTGAAATGAGTTTAACACTTATGAGTTTTGGTTTTCTACACTGAAAATGAAGTCATTCAGGGGTCAATGATGCTAAACTCATGCATTGTAATCGACGTGTACTTTTTACCCTACACTACTAGGAGATGCTAGACCCATTAGCAAATGTGTGCCTGTCCCCTGCTCAGCCTCCAGGACCCTAAGGAACTCTCCCAGTACTATTACTTACAGAAGCTATTAAAGGACAGGAAGGGGGTGATGAGTGTGAATTATTTAGACAGTTCTTGGCACTCTGAGAGCATTAATATGGGCATGGCACCTTTATTTACCTATTTAGCCGTGGCTCTAACCCCATATATGCTGAAATTCAAGGTTGATCAGAGGCTTCTGAGAGCAGTGCTTTTGATTTCCTGGTAGTTCTTTGTGTCCATCCCTTTCTAGGATAATTTTACTAACACAAGCCCATTATAAACCATGTTGTCTGTGGCTGGCTGCCTCTGTAGACATATAGCCCACAGATATGAGGGCTGGCTGTGTACTCTTTTACTACAGGAGATATTTATTTCTAAAAAAAAGTACTTCAAAAGCCATAGTAGACTGGAATTGCTGGGTTTTTACACTTGCCATTTCAACTGTAGACAGTGTCTGTTGTCCATACTGCCCCGAGGGTCGTGAGGAGATGAAATAAATTTATATATCTGCTCCTTTGGCATTTCTGTAAACATTTTGCTCTTCTAAAATGTCAAATTGTACGGTACTTGAATTGTGTTGTGTCTAACTGGAATTTTTACAAATATTGCATTTTCATTACACATCATGGCACCACCATCCCATCATTCCTTTAATTATTTCTTGGTCAGATTTTTTTTTTCTGATTTTAATAGGAGAGCTCAAGTGTATACGGATACTTAAGATTTTAAAAGAGGCTGTCTGCTCTCACATACACGGAAGAATGACTTAAGATAGTATTTTTCTTCCATTCTTACTTTGTCTAGAAGGTCTAAGATGTACTTTCCTTCTGATGGAGCCTGTCTCCTTCTCATCTGTGGAAAGGTGACTTGGCTAAGACTTTCTGTCTTCCATGCAAATCTGGTAGGTAGCGCTCCATTCTCCTTGGGAACATTCTACATTCATGGAACTTAACTACACTGTTATAGTGAAAATTTTATTTAACTCTATCACTGGGTTTAACTTATCACACTTTGCCACAGAGTAAATAAGAAAATTACAGATAATTTAGGAGTAAAATCAAGCTGCTTCAGGCAGCTCATGGACGTTAGTAAGGTGTCTACCACAGGCGAGTCCTGTACAGTGGGACCTGACCCTGCCTCTCCCGACTCTCTCTAGAGACAAAGCTGGATGTCTTTAGAGAACTGTCTCATAACTCTCTGCTTTTGATTTAAAAGTGTTGTGATTAAGCTTCCTAAGGCCATTTACACATCCTCTTCTGTTTTAGAAGTCTAAAACTTGCTGGTATCCCTCGTGTTAATGGGTTCACATTTTAAAGAGAAAAATAACTTCATTGCAGATTTAAGTGAGAAAAGAATTTATGTGTCACCTTTAGACAGGGTCACATATAAATTCACAAATTTTCATTTCTCTCAGTTTCTTTGAAACAGGGAGACTTTTGGTATGTCTTGATTTCTATTTCTGGTAATTTTGGTCATGAAGTATATTCTCTAGCCTCTTGGTCTATCTATCTATCTGTATCTATCTATCTATCTATCTATCTATCTATCTATCTATCTATCTATCTATCTCTATCAATCTGTTATAATCTATCTATCATATCTATGAATCTATCTATCTATCATCTATCTATCAATCATCTATTCATTTATCTATCAACTATTTATCTATCCACCCATCTATCCATCCAGCAAAGAATTCTTTAGTTAGGAGGAAATCACTAACCAACACCTGTGACAAACTCCACATTATATTAAAAGTGAAAGTTTTTTTCCTTTTAAGTTTTATTTCTGTTAACACTGAGATACCTTGAAGGAGAGGTGAGCAAATTGTCTTCATTCTCTCTCAACTTTTATTCTAAATGTACATGATTATTGCTTTTAACCATAAATCAGCATGACTTATCATTTTTTTAATGCAAATTTGCTTTATAGTCCTAATGAAGCACGCATGGCAATGGGTTGGCTCCTGGCTGCTGTTGCTTCACATTGTACGTTATGACCCTTCCTATGGGTGGTCATGCACACTCACCTTTATCTGTTTTGTATCAAGATCAATCTGTTGGAGGAGAGATATCAAAGGGAGGCTGTGCCACAGTGAGAAACTCACTTCAAAGGAAGGATGAGCTTTTAAACTACCAATATATTGGGGTGGGGGAGAAATGAAATCCAAGAAATTAGAACTTTAATTATTAAATGTTAAACTTAAATATTGAGGGTGATTTATGAAACAGCAAAGTACTTGCTAAGAATTATGTTAAAATAATTAACTTAATTTCACTTATGGCAAAATGCTAATTAGAATTAAAATTACTGCATGGAAAGGCAGTAATCAAGATGCCTTGGCTTGTGTATTAGTCATTCTTTTTCGGCAAAAAAACACAGAAAAGAGGCAGGAGAAGGAGGACAAATCTAAGTCTGACAAATTCTAGCCAGAGATTGTCTCAGATAACCAAATAACTTCAGAGTTTTCCACAGATATTAGACATTTCAAGGAGAAAGAAGACCTTGCCCTGAGGGTACTACTTAAGATTGAGGATGAAGGCTTAGAAAGTACTGGAGACAGCGACATGTACTGGTAAGGACTCGTACATCCAGGTCCTTGAGAGGAGCAAGTGGGAAGTTAGTAGTTTCAGCTCTCCTCCATAGTACAGCAGGACCCTGTCTCAACACATGGAGAGAGACAGAGAGAGAAAGACAGAGAGACAAAAAGACATAAAGAAAGAGAGAAAGGGCGATAGAGAGGAATGGGGTTCAGTAGTTGAATAGAGAATGTGGTTAGCCTGGGAATAGTCCCTGGGATTTGACTCCTACACCAAAAAAATATTTAAAAATAAATTAAATTGGAGCAAAGGAAAAAGAATGTCACATCTTGTTGTTGTCCTATTGATCTCTGAGTCTCTTTTTTAAAAAAAAACCTGGTGTGTGTGTGTGTGTGTGTGTGTGTGTGTTAGTGTGCGTCTCTCTCTCTCTCTCTCTCTCTCTCTCTCTCTCTCCTCTTTCTCCCTCCTCTCTCTCTCTCTCTCTCTCTCTCTCTCTCTCTCTCTCTCTCTCTCTGTGTCAGTATGACATGTGCCAATGCTCACCTGTGAAGATTAAGAAATCACTTTCCCTTTCCACTCTGGATTTGGAGATTGAATTTAGGTCTCCAGGTTTACTCTGCAAACTCTTGTAGCCACTGGACCATCTCTCAGGCCCTTAGCTACTTTGAATCATTTTGTTCTTTGCCTTATATACAAAATAGAATTTATTAGAAAGAAATAACAATCATTTAAATGTTATCAGTATACCACCAAACAGAACCAAATCATATTTCATTCAAAAGGAAGTGTTTGTTGCTTAGGGTTTTTTTTTAAAGAATTATTAAATAAGGCCATAGGTTCATTCCTGTTTATCTTATTTTGTTTTTCGATAACCCACCCAAATCTAAAATTTTTTGCATGTATCAGATATTGTCTAATAAATAAAGAATGATATGTACTATTGTATTTACTATTTATTTACTAAGTCTCTGGATTATCAGTTAATTGTTCTCTGATGACTTCCTAACCATAAGTATTATTTCCTAAACAGTATTGAATATTTAGGAGAACAAAGCAACACTTCAGAACTCTAGAGTCTTTTCTAGTACCACTAAGTTATTTGTGCTGGAGGACAACAAAAATCCAGGCCTCCTCCCCTACCTCTATCCCTCTAGCTTCCCCTTTGAGCACCTTGCTCATTGCCTAAGACCCTACATCCTTCTCAGATGGAACACTTTTGAGACTAAGAAAACTTCTACTTATTGGTCTCACCTGCCTCTCATGTCATAATTTGTTCCTCTGCTGAGTAACGTGGAGGGGGGGAGGGTTTGGCAGGTATTCAACCAGACCCCAAATCAAAATTTTGGGTGTTTCCTAAAAACTTTGACATGTATTGCTCCATCCTAATTAATGTTGATTCATGTAGCAATCCTGTAGATTCTATTTTCCTATGTCTGTCGCTGCACTGAACAGCCATGGCTAATGACTTGGTTCAAGCCCTACCCATCTCTACCCTGAGTTGCTGCCATAGAATGCCTCTAATTTCTATACCCTCTTTCTATATGTACCACCAATTCAGCTATTATTAGAATGCCATTACCTTACCTAAAATCCTCTTATAGCTATTTATAGCCTGCCACATGAAGTTCAAACATTTTACTTTGGCCCACAAGTTTCCTCATTTTCAATTTTTATTGTATCTTTGGCATTATTTCCCATTTTTCCTTGAATGCATATGCCAAAATATCATAACTGGAACACTGTTCCCATGAGCCGGCTTGGGACATGCACAGCAGACCTTCCCTTTATCCTTCTCCACACCTTTCCCTCTTGTGTGAATTGTCTTTCCCACCTCTCTTGGCTCATTACACAACTACTTCAGAGCCTGTCCTCAGTCTTGCCTCCTTGAGAGGCCTCTTCTGCTCAGTCTGGTTTGAATATTGCCACGGGACACCAGAATTTTAGGACAGTATTATCCTCATTGCTGACAAGCTGTTGACAAAGCTGGTTTTGCCTGGTGGACAGTGAAGAGCTACTAAGACAGATGTGTTGTGCATCTTAGCCTAGCAGATGGTAAATGATGAATGAGTCAAATGAGTTGTTTTTGGTTTTTGTTTGTTTTGCAATTGAGTCTTTTGAAATAGCCTGACTGTCATAAAACTCACTATGTAGACCAGGCTGGCCTCAAACTCACAGAGCTCCACCTGCTTCTCACTCCTGAGTACTTCAGACCTGACTATGAATGCATTTTTATTTAATGGATGGAATACATATCCTAGAGTTCTCTGGCTTAACTCTGTGTCCTTTCAAATCCAAGTTCAGTCAGTGAGATAAAATTAGGAGGTGGGACCTCTGGCAGGTGGTAGCCAACAGAAGCTCCTCTCAGATGAATAGAATTCAAGCCCTTATGGAAGTCTTCAGGTTTCTGACACACAAGGACACTGTTTATCCCCCTGGAAGATGCAGCCATCACAAGACAATAGAATGCACTTTCCTGGGGTATTGTCTTCCCAGCCTCTGAAACTGAAATATGCTCGAGTGTCTGGTTCTTATAAATACCTAGTGTCGGGTGCTCTGTGATAGCTGCATAGATGGACTAAGACATTTGACTTAGATGTCAGCCATCCAACTCTCATCTGGTAATTTACATGTTGTGACAAATAAGAAGAAGGTGGAAAATTCAAGAAACAAAGAAATAGAATCTGGTAGAAGATATAGAGATTGAAGATAGCCGTGGTAACCCACTCACAAGTAATTTCTCATGTGCCTGTCAAGGCAAGTCAGCCATTGCCATTCTCTAATTTCTGACATGTCCATCAGTGTTTCTACCATTGTCATTATCTATAGACTGTTTTTCTGATACATGCACTATTAACTCTTGATTGAAATATCATACAAAGATATTATCAAAACTTTTTTCTGGTTGGTTGATTTGTATGTAATCACTACATACTTTAAGTACTTTATTTCTTAGAAGTACCACATGTAGTGATTTTGTCTTTATGTGGGTGTTCTGAGTATAACTGTTGGCATCTGGGTAGGAGAAGGCTATAAAGACAAGACTCTGGTAACTTCCAGTAGGAAAAAAAACTGAGTATTCTATGTAAGGGTTTATGGAACTGACAATGAGCATCAGATTTTTCAACTTTATGAGACACTTTCTCAACTACAGGTTACCTACTTAGCTTGATGTAAATTGACGGCTCATTTTTTAAAATGTAAAATTCTGAGAGCTATCCAGTAGCCAACAGATAGCTGACAAACCTGAGTTAAACATGCTTCTTACCTGGCTACTCTTCCCCGAAGGTCTCCAACTCCTTGTATGTGTTTGATGTTTAGATCCTGCACTGCAAAGTTAGTTCCTGTGGCCGCCTGGTCTCGGATTCTTATTTGGTCTTCTAGGAGCTGTAATTTTGGGACAAGACCATCATTAATTTCCAAATACTCATGATAAAGGAACTCTTTAAAATCCATATTAAACTAGTTAAACAGATGGGATGAGAGGGAGAGGTATGGAGCGGGGGGGGGGGGAGGGAGGGAGAAAGGATTGAATTTTGCTTTAAATGAGGGAAGCTGATGCAGTTTCAGTTGAATGCTATCAGGGGCAAATGAGCTCTCAATAATTTTTGAACACTAGCCAGAAAGCCAGGCTTTATGTGAAATCTCTCAATTTAAAAATATTGACATTGACTATGCAAGTTACTATGGCAGTTCTTCACCTCAAGATCCAGCTATACCAGTCTTGGGCATGTACCCAAAGAACTCTACATTCTACCACAGAGACAGTTGCTCATCCATGTTCATTGCTCCTTTATTCATAATAGCTAGAAAGAGGAAACAGCCTAGATGTTCACCAACAGATGAATGGATAGTGAATATGTGGTACCTTTACAAAATGGAATATTGTTCAGGTGTGAAATAAAAAACAAAATCATGAATTTCTCAGGTACAAATGGAGCCAACTCAGCCCTCAAAAGAAAAATATATGTGTATTCTCTTATATGTGGAGAGTAGCTTTTAAATATTTAATAGGCAAGTGACAATCCGTATAACCCAGTTTAGGGATAAAGAAAGGGTCTAGGTAGTCTTGGAAAATCTTTCAAGGAAGAGAAAGTGTATAGTTATGGAGAGATGTCGCAGAGACTGGCACAGGAGTCTTAGATAGAAAGAAGGAGGCAAGAGAGGTTAAGAAGAAAATATGGGGGAGGGACAAATAACACCAAGGGCCATTTGAGGCTCATATGGAAACCTAGTAGAGTGGAAACCTCTTAAAATGTATACACATAGGAAAGAAGTGTAAACGGAGTTACCAAATAATGGAGGAGACAAAACCCAAACTAGACATCATTTTGCAGAGGGTCTACTGTATATTTTATAGTGATTATAAAAGACTTGTGTTATGTGTGCCTTCAGATTTTATTTCTAGCAGTCATATCTCAATTGTATCCTGCCATATCCCTGTAGTATCAAGTTGATGTACAGGAAATAGTGGGTTTAAAAATATCTTACACCAATTTGTAGCTATTAAGTTAAAATGAAAAAAAATATGCCTATCTATTAAAAGTCACATTTTAGTTGACAACTTCAGTGGATGCTGACAAAATGTTTAGTTGAGAAAAAAGGCACAGTACTTTGGAAAAAACCAAGTTCGAGTTTGGTTACATCTGAAAAATGCCTGAGCTGTGCTTAAATATGATGAACTTTACAAATCAAAAGGAGTTTTTAAAAAGTGAGTGCTAGGAATGAAAAAGACCTATATATAGATTTTCCCCATTTCTGAAACCGGTGGATTGGGGCAATCTAGGAGCACAGAAAACCTGAACATCAGACACAGACTAGAGGAAGCCCCTGCAGGAGGGTGGTCAGCTTTCTGTAAGGCTGTGGCCAACCCATGCCCTTGAGTATATGGGCAGCACAAACTGGACTCAAATCGGGTTCAAACTTTTTAAAAAGGGGAGTTGAAATGTTGGGGTGAGACGAGGAAGGGGAGTGGATAAGGAAAGATGTGTGGGGAGAAATGTGAGTGAATAAAAATTGGTTATATGTATGAAACTGAAAATTTAATAAAATGGTGTGTATGTTTTTAAAGGTAAGCATTAAAGCATAGTTTTGATGTTGTCTTTTGCTTTGCTTCTCCTTCAGTAAAGATCAGAGATGAGCCAGGTGTGGTGTGTATACCTTTAATCCAGCCTGAATCCCAACACTTTGGAGGCAAAGGCAGGGAGATTTCTATGAGTTTGAGGCCAGCTTGGTCTACATAGAGAGTTCCAGAACAGTCAGAGTGACATAGTGAGTCTCAAAAAAAAAAAAAAAAAAAAAACAAAAACCAACCAACCAACCAACCAACCAACCACCAACCAACCAACCGACAACAGAGATAAAGGAACCAGCTCTGTTCAGTATGGAATATTTCCTAGGACAAAACCAAGTAAATCAGTGTAGCAAGACATATTGCAATTTCAGTACAATGTAGCATTGTCCTGTACTGTAACATAGCAATGTATTTGAAGACTTCTGTAACCGTAGGAAAGAAATAGTTACACTGAGACATGGATGTTCTTGTGTGCATACATGTGTGCATACCTGTGTGTGTGTGTGCGTGTGTGTGTGTAGGGGGTAGGGATGTGTGTAGG